TTGACAATGGATTAAAATACAATAAAACATACACTGGAGAAGAAAGCAGAAAATACATGTGTAAAATAAAGACTTTGTTTGTTTGTATTCTTTATTTAGAGTGGGAAGTCCAAAACAGGCCCTAGCCTAATAACAATGGTCCCACTTTCAAACCCAAACCAAAATAAATTCAAATAGAAATCTATAATTTATACAAAAGAGAAAGACCAAGGAACTCTAAAAATCTATAAAATAGAATAAAGCGGTAAGGTTCTCTAGAGGTACAATATCCATCATTTCTCAGCTAACGGGCCGTCAATAAAATATATCGATCTTTCTCGCGAAATGGAAAAAAAACGTTCATGGTTGGGTGCGTCGGGGAGATTAAATCATTTTGAAAAGTATAGACAGCTGAAACCTCAACCCAGTCTAGCTGTTCGGTCAAAATATATTTTTTCATTCGGTGAGAACTATCACTAATGCCGTATGTCCCCGAACTCCTCTAGGGTAGGACCTGCTACCCTGCATTGAGGGGCACTGTCACTATAAGTGATTATCAGTCGTGTACCGGACTGGGATAACCATGGTTGTATAGAAAGTCAAGGATAGCTCGACAAGCTGCTGGAAGCACAATGTGCGGACGGCAGAGCTTTTTCAATTGGTTCCAATCTGAACTCAGTTTAAAGTTTCATGTCGCAGGCAATCTGACAGATGTATGATACGTTGATTGCTTCTGCACTATGGTTTTGAAAATTGACAATAGGGTCTAACCGGATCTCTCTCTCTCTCTCCCCCTCTCCCTCTCCCTCTCCCTCTCCCTCTCCCTCTCTCCTCTCTCTCTCTCTCTCTCTCTCTCTCTCTCTCTCTCTCTCTCTCTCTCTTTCTCTTTCTCTTTCTCTCTCTCTCTCTCTCTCTCTCTCTCATTTGTATTTAGAAGTTGGATTGCTTAGAATTTCTTCTAACTTCTGTTTTGCATAATTATCTGGCATACCGAAAACCGTTGGGGGAGTCTAAACCGAGACTTTGAGTGATAAGATTGTGACTGGTTATCTGCCATATCCTACAGATTGTGACACATGCTGCAGCCCTAACGAAGAAATGGTCTCAGCTAGAGTCAGAGCAGATCTATACTCGGCCTTCCCAACAGCTGAGCCTACCACCAAGATCACATCACCGTCAGCGGATAGTGTCGCATCGTCAATGCCGACAGTTACCATGGTAACATCCCCGACTACCCTCGGCAATATCACTGCCAGTGCTGCCACGGGCGACTCTGTAGCTAGTGCTCCAGGTATCCCAGCCTCGACCCCTGTGAGTGTTCAGATGTTTACACAATCCACCAGCCCTGAACCATCCACAGAAACCACCAGCCCTGAACCATCCACAGAAACCACCAGCCCTGAACTATCCACAGAAACCACCAGCCCTGAACTATCCACAGAAACCACCAGCCCTGAACTATCCACAGAAACCACCAGCCCTGAACTATCCACAGAAACCACCAGCCCTGAACTATCCACAGAAACCACCAGCCCTGAACTATCTACAGAAACCACCATCCCTGAACTATCCACAGAAACCACCAGCCCTGAACTATCCACAGAAACCACCAGCCCTGAACTATCCACAGAAACCACCAGCCCTGAACTATCCACAGAAACCACCAGCCCTGAACTATCCACAGAAACCACCAACCCTGAACTATCAACAAGCAAAAATGCCGCATTGAGTCTGTCACTATCGCAACTACTACCAGATCTGGACACAGTCGCCGACAGCATTAGCAGTGATGCCACAAGCAGTGATGATGATCCGGATCCAATGGAGGAGGACGAGATAGCAAGTCTTGATAAGATCATAGACAAAGTGGAGCAACTATCCGAATCCGTCTCAAACGCACAGTTCAATGAAAAGGTCAGCATCATGTCACCCATAGTGAATGTGGAGCCCCGTCGTGTTCAAACACGAATGTTTGAGTATCAGAGAATATTGTATTAAGTGTGTATCTGTGTGTGCTTGAGTATGCATGCACGCATGTAACCAAATGTGTTTTAAATGTTGTTTCTTCTTCTCTTTGCGTACATCTGGTACAGGATGTTGACACTGCAGTAAGCTGGGTAAGCAGCTATCTCTCCAGAGCCAAAGCTATCAGTCCTGGAGCAACAATACCCAAGAGTCTGCACAACAGGTGAAGTTCTTCTCAGGGGGATAGCTCATCCGCCCTTCAGGGGGGGGGGGGGGTGCATGGCCGCGTATGTGTAGTACTGGCTGGTGCATGTCATTCATGGTCATTATCTGCATACTGAACCTAGGTCGAAATGTTTAGGGGTGCACGTCCTCCCCCATCGTACCCATGAGGGCTACGCACCTGCTTATCATTCATTTCCTTTACAGTCAACTTCGCTTATAATGACACTCGGCGGGCATCAGAAAAGTGTCCTTATTCGCGAAGTGTCGATATACCCGAAGTCTCATTATATGTGCTACAGTTGGATGGGACTTTGCTCTGGGCATGAAAATTCTGTCGTTATTCGCGAATTGTTGTTATATCCGCAGTCGTTATCAGCGAAGTTGACTGTAATTCCTATTTCTATTCTTCACCGTCGATATCTTTCCTAATTTGCTAGTGACCAGATTAGTGGAATGCGTTGCTTCTAGACTTTCATGTTGTAATCCATATCTACTGTCACAGGGAGTAAATGGTAGTGGTGACAGACCTAGCTCTGCCCAATACACAGTTCAAACTGCAACAGGCAGGCATGTAGCTCGTGTACGGTCAGCATAGTCATCGTTTCTAGGAACTGGCCCCTGGCCGGTGGGAAGGCATCCTTGCCTGTAAATCTGATGAAGTAAAATAAAACAACAGCAACAACAACAACAACAACAACAACAACAACAACAACAACAACAACAACAACAACGGCAACGGCAGCGGCAACGGCAACAGCATAGTCCGGTCAGCACACAAGCAAATAGCTGTCATACATACTACGTAGTCAACGTAGGCTACATTGCAGCTACATGTATGAGGTTGCCAGTGGTTCACCACGCCGCAGCTACATGTGTGAGGTTGCCGGTGGTTCACCATTGCAGCTACCTGTATGAAGTTGCCGATGGTTCACCATTGCAGCTACATGTATGAGGTTGCCGGTGGTTCACCACGCCGCAGATGTGATCTGGTACATAATCACCAAACCACCGATGTGCGAGCTACGTCCCTGAAAGGGACTTCCGAACTCTTGAGCAGCATTTTGTGAATGATTTCAGCTGTCGTGTCTTTGCTATGCGCCCTGTGCAGACTGTTCACGGTCATTCCCAACTTGCTGCAGCCAGGATCAATCGACGCCGACTACATCTCAGTGGCCAACACTGACTTTGTTGCAATTCTGTCCACCAGAGCGAGTGCCTCGTCAAAGGGCAAAATCCGGCTTGATTGGCCAGAGCGCGAGTACAGCCGTGCGGGTGGAAACAGCAGCGATCAGCCGGAGAAGGCAGGGATAGTTTCTGTGCAGCTTCCCTCAATGCTGTTCCAAGAGTTGGGCAATACGTCGGACAGTGCTTCCGTAATGCAGCTGTCCATAGTGCTCAACGGAAGCATATTTGGCTCGCCGAACGCTGATGATATCCCCGACGTGCGTGATCCGGAGGACGTCTTCGGGACTCCCGTCTCCTCGGTTATAAATCTGCAAGTCGGCCACAACGCCTCCTCCAACCTTCCCGAACCAGTGAGGATATCCCTAGCAGCGTCAAACAAAACCACCAAGCTGGTATGTGTGTGTGTAGATATTACCGTTGTACTACGTGAGCATCTGGCATTATAACTAAATTCACGGAACGAAAAAGTTAAGTTAAATTCACAGTGGCCTCTCAGTTGGGTGGACGTTCCAGGGCCAATGGCAGTGTGGCGTGTGGTGTTTTGTATTACATGGTGTTCGGGACAACACAGATAACAGCGTGCTGTGTGTTCTGTTCTGTTCTGTTACATGCTGTTCTGTTCAGGGTGGTGCCAATGGCAGTGTGGTGTGTGCATTCTGGAACACCACGCTACGCAGTAAGTAATCCCGTCAGGACAACTCTATCTGAGATACAGTAAAACCTGGTTTAAGTGACCACCCCACGGTGCAAGGACAAGCGGTCGTGAAAGCCAGGTGGTCTTTATCCCACAGTGTCTGTGTAGAACTGTCGGTGCATTGAAAAACGGTCGTTAAGAGCAGGTGGTCGCTAAAACGAGAGGTCGCTTACACCAGATTTTACTGTATCACTGGTGACAGATTGGCTATCAGACCCAGCTGTTAGTCCATACGCTGCCTGTCTCACGTACTCCAACAACTGATATTATCAGTGCTGCCAAATAATTTTCGCCCAAAATCGGACACCCTTCACCGCCACATGGTGTGAATTTTTCTCCTCGGCAATTTTTTTACAGAGAATTCAAAATATCGCCTAAAACACCATGAAAATTCGCTTCGTTGCCATGGTAACCCCAGAGTTGTCATGAATTTTGTAATGATGAGTGTGGTCGCACACTGACTCTGTACAGACTGTCAGTGTACATGCCATCCAGCCTGATCCAGGCATGTTACTTTGCACTTCCACAGCCAAGCGCTAGCCTTTTTAGAAGCAAATGTACAGTGATTTGTGCCTTCAGTTGCGCTGAAAAGTGAAAGTACAGGACTTCTGCAAAGGAAAGTAATGATCTCCGACATTTTGGCTGCTTTTCGGACGTTTCCCTTTTCGGACCGGTTTTCGGAAGAGCCTTCAAAAATCGGACACTGTCCGAAAAATCGGACGGTTTGGCAGCACTGTATTATTATAAAGTGCTCTTCAGTAAGCCGTGCTCTAAGCTACTGTTTGTGTGTTTCAGTGCATCTTGATTGCTGGTGATAAGTTTCCAAACAGTGCTGCCAGGTGTGTGGATGTGTTCATGGGTGTATATCTATGTGCTTGTGTTGGGCTGCCCCAGACAATAGCTATGGATGCAACTGTTTGATGAGTACTTCCATGTATGTGTATGGGTTGGGAATCTCTGTACGTGTTTTACAACTGTTTGATGAGTATGTGTGTGCCTCTCTGTACGCGTTTTGTATCTCCTCAGGCAATACTGGTGGCTGGTCACGACGTGGTTGCAGTCTGGTGTCCAACTCTGCAAACACCATCACGTGTGAATGCAATCATCTAACGAGTTTTGCATTAATCCAGGTAGGGGGAATTGTATATCTGCACACGTACACACACACACACACACACACACACACACACACACACACACACAAACACACACACACACACACACAAACACACTTGTACGTGTACGTGTTGCTCACTGCCAAAACTGGTCACGTGGGTCTCCCCGGGAGAGGGGAGAGAGACTCAAAAGGAATCTTGGAAAGATTACTCAATTGGCTATTGAACCGCCCAACGGCTGACACCCCCTGAAATCCCCAAAACTCTGGGTGCACTTGAAAATGATCCAACTTATGGGCTCACCACACCTCAGTAAGTGGGTGAGGACAAGGTGCAGAAAAAGGATTGACGGCATCGGGGTATCCGTCCAGGGATCCAACTGCAGTTACCCCTGCCCCCAGTGAAGGTAATACTTGCTACTAGTGTGGGTGGCTAAATCAGAGTGGTCTGATACAAGCTTCACTAGCACCATTGATTACACACGAATTAATCTAGCCAGAAGCAGTCCATGGTTAACAGGTATGTATGCTTCAAATAGAAAGTATATGAATCCTGGAACCAACAAAGGTGGCAGGTACAACATTACACCTTCAAGCAGCCGAGCCTGTTGGTAACAGACCCAACACAATCAGGCATAAGTGCACCCACCAACCAACTAGCTGGCAAACACACACACACACACACACACACACACACACACACATACACACACACACACCCTTTCCCCACTGCGTCATCCCAATTTGGAACCAGCTGCCTTCCTCTATCATTCCCCACCCATTTCACCCAAAGAACATCCAAAAGTTCAAGACAGCAGCTTATCACCATCTCCTCAGAACGAACTAGCACTGGGCCACTCATAGCATACGCGAGTAAGAGGGTACAGTGTCCTACCCTGCTTGGACATACATGTAATCTCTCCTCACAGACAGTCTCCTCTTGAATTTAAAAGTCTGACAGCGTTCACTTCAATACTCAACAACTTGAAGTTGAGCTTATTCTTTTGCTCACTGAGTAATACAATCTTTCCATTTTCTTTCTTCTGTTTTCTTTTCAATTTAATCCTCCCTACCCAATATCCCTTTGGTGCGTCCATGGAGCTATGAAGCCGAGACCTCTGGTCAGCGGAGCTTAATGGGCCCCACCACCACACTCCATGATTCACCCCAGTGTCTGGAGATATGTAGATTTTGTAGAAGAAGAAAAAACACACACACACATGCATGTACACATACGCACACACGCATGCATCCACATACACACTCAAAAACACACACACACACAGAGTACCTAGAACCTAGCCCCCCCCCCACACACACACAAACACACACACACACACACACACAAACACACACACACACACAAACAAACACACAACACAAACACACAACACCAAATCTATAATGTTGATACACCCTATATTGACTTTCCGTCAAGCACACCGTGACAATCCCTCCACGATATGTTAAGTCTATATATAGAAGGGTGCACTGGCAATGTGGAACTCAAGTTTGATTATTCTTTGTGATTTCCGCTCCAGAGCCTGTTTCCACGTGGACCTAGCTCGGGGCCTAGCGAAACGCAGCGCAACGTCACCCTCTACGGGCTGGCCATCTCATCCCTGTTCCTCATCGCCACTGTTCTAGTCTTACTCTTGTTCAGGTAGACTTACACAATCCACAGTAGAGCGGGACATTTTCGGACGGAAATATTTTTGGGCAAAGCCGAATTTCGACCTTTCGTACAGATTTTATTTTCGTACAGTGCTGCATACTGAATGCACGTGTTCGCAAGCAGTACGCGCGTGCCAAGGCGCATTGCATGCGTACACTAGCTGTACTATGAACTGCACTGCGCCACTACGCGTGCGCACTAGTCCTGGACGGGAGCCAGTTCACGATGTACATCATGCATAGTGTGCATAATTTCACATCAACAAATTTTAGTACGGAATTAATTTTAGTACGAAAGAGGCCGAGTACGAAATCGTACGAAAAAATAAATTCCGTCTGAAACTTTCCTGCTATTCAGTATCAACCGTAGGCAAAATAATAAACTCTCTCAGTATGATGTTCTGTATGTTGTTGATGTCTAGACAGCATTGATTTCAGGGCTACAGTGGTCAATGGCCACAAGCAAAAAGGAAAAGGAAAGAATGAAAAACACACTCCCTTTCTGATTCTCTCCTATGAGTTCGAGTTCCATCAGCATTATCGTCTCACTGATTTGCTTTACTCTCTGGTTGGATTTCTCTGTCTGTTTCTCTCTCTCTCTTTCTTTCTCTCTCTCCGTCTCTCTCTCTCCTTCTATCTCTATCTGTCTCTCTTTCTGTCTCTCTATCTCGATTTCTCTATCCCTATCTATCTCATTATCTCTATCTCTATCTATCTCTCCCTCTCTCTCTCCTTCTCTCTCCCTCTCTCTCTCTCTCTCTCTCTCTCTCTCTCTCTCTCTCTCTCTCTCTCTCTCTCACTCTCTCTCTCTCTCTCTCTCTCTCTCTCTCTCTCTCTCTATCTATCTGTCTGTCTGTCTCTGTCTCTCTCTGTCTCTCTGTCTCTCTTTCTGTCTCTCTTTCTGTCTCTCTCTCTCTGTGTCTCTCTCTCTCTCTCTCTCTCTCTCTCTCTCTCTCTCTCTCTCTCTCTGTGTGTGTGTGTGTGTGTGTGTCTCTCTCTCTCTCTCTCACTCTCTCTCTCTCTCTCTCTCTCTCTCTCTCTCTCTCTCTCTCTATCTGCCTCTCTGTCTCTCTGCCTCACTCCATTGGTCTTCCACTGTACAGAAAGCTACGGGTGGACATTGCCAATCGCCTGCTCTGCCATTACTGCATGGTCATGCTGGTACTGAACGTCATCACCGTTGTCAATCAGAGCATCACCCCATCACCATGGCGATGCACAGTGATCAACGTGCTCACACACTACACCCTTCTGACCCTGTACCTGTGGGCGCTGGTGCAGGCTCTGCACCTGTACCGACTCCTGGTCACCGTGTTCTACAAGGAGGTATCGCACATCCACCGCAAGGCCATTGTTGTATGCTACGGTAGGCGCCCCCCCCCCCCCCCCCCACACACACACACCTGTCCTGCATCACGGCTACACTGAATGCATTCGACGTAGTGCCGCATACTGGTGTGCTTAAAGACGGGTATGCTGTGAACAGCAAACAGCCCGAGTGTGTCAGTATGTGAATGCCTGGATACGTGTTGCAGGTCACTCAGCGTGAGAATTCGGGTATGTGTTATAGGCTCTCGGAGTCATGGCAGCATTGACGTTTGGATGCCCGTGGATCCAGTTTTTGTATGCCGGATCCGTACACGTTTGGGTGTTTTCCTTCACAGTCAGCAGGGTGACCCTGATACTGACTGGACTGGGACCTCCCCTGGTCAGGGTGAGCTGAAGTGTAGGGTGACCCATCCACCTGTTTGTGGCTGGACTGGGACCTCCCCTGGTCAGGGTGAGCTGAAGTGTAGGGTGACCCATCCACCTGTTTGTGGCTGGACTGGGACCTGCCCTGGTCAGGGTGAGCTGAAGTGTAGGGTGACCCATCCACCTGTTTGTGGCTGGACTGGGACCTCCCCTGGTCAGGGTGGGCTGAAGTGTAGGGTGACCAATCCACCTGTTAGTGACTGGCCTGTGATATCCTCTGGTCAGGGTGAGCTGAAGTGTAGGGTGACCCATCCACCTGTTGACTTGTATCACCGTCAATTTGACAATTGTAATGTAAGCCACACCGACCGTTTCTGGGTGAATCACTGGGGTTTAAAGCGCGTCTTATACTCCTGAGAACACGACAGCCATACTGCTGTTGAAAAGAGACCTAGAGAATTGCCTGTAAGAGCGAAGTGTCAGTAACTGCACCAGTTCTGCTCTCCACTCCACAATTGCAGGGCGGTTTTTGAAACGGTTTACCAGAAAACGGGATCGACAATATCCAAGTTTTCATAGCTGTTCAAATTTTTCCAGGGTCCATCGATATTCAATATCGCAATCAAGAGAACAAACTGTGCGGTAACCATTCTTATATTGGTTATAGATAACTACAGTACAAGTGTACTATAATCCAATCATATAAAACCCCTGTATGCCGGTGTGAGGGGACTTCATTAGCCGGGAGCAGCTAACACAAGAATGGTTACCGCACAGCATTTTCTCTTGCTTGCCACATGGAAGTTGTTATATTGAATATTTTAGTAGTTATCTCCAAAACGCTTGTTTATCCATCAATATTGTTGTGATTATATTGATTATATTGAGGCATGTTTATTATCAAGGCAGTAGTCGTGTACGTCTTCAGCTTGATTTGTAGCAATTTTCTAGCATGGAGTTTGCCAACAGTGATCAATGATTTATGACCCTGCCTGGTGCTCTTTGGATGCTGTCTGCGCATAGGTGTCCCGTGTTTAGTTTGCCTGTTGACAATGGCATCACGGCGCTTCAGCATGGACAATTATAGTGGGTACAACGAGAGAAATTTGTAAGTGCAAAATTTCAGCTGGTGCTTCCGTTAAAGGGGAAGTATACCCTAAAATCAAATTTTCACCAGTTGTAGTCTTCGGGGCGCTGAGTCGAATGGTCTTGGTCCGAGGAAGCTGAGATGCTCCCTTCCTACTTGAATCCCAATCGAACTCGCGCACTTCCACCGAAACTGGGTGACTGCGCCCTACTAGATGGGGATTTGTATGCAAAATGTCACTAAAAGCGCCATTTCGTTCTTATAAAAGCACGGATGACCGCGATTGGCCCATATGTTGTAGTCTTTTGGACGCTGACTCGACTGGTTTTGGTCCGAAAAGGCTGCGATGTAGCGTTCCTCCTTTATTCCCAATCGAACATGGTTGAACAAGTGGTCACGTGCTCCTGCGTACACCAGTCACCTGGTCACCGTGCCTGCAGGGTACAACTTACTAGCCTGTTTGACCTTTTTTGGGTGCACTCCTGTCACTCGAGTTGAACTCGAGTTGAACCTTGGTGTGAAATTTGTCGCCTGCTGGCGTGGTGACCAGGTGATTTGGGCACCCAGCAGCACGTGACCGGTTGTTCAACCATGTTTGATTGGGAATAAAGGAGGAACGCTGCATCGCAGCCTTTTCGGACCAAAACCAGTCGACTCAGCGTCCAAAAGACTACAACATTTGGGCCAATCGCGGTCATCCGTGCTTTTATAAGAACGAAATGGCGCTTTTAGTGACATTTTGCATACAAATCCCCATCTAGTAGGGCGCAGTCACCCAGTTTCGGTGGAAGTGCGCGAGTTCGATTGGGATTCAAGTAGGAAGGGAGCGTCACAGCTTCCTCGGACCAAGACCATTCGACTCAGCACCCAGAAGACTACAACTGGTGAAAATTTGATTTTAGGGTATACTTCCCCTTTTAGGAAGCCTTTGACATAAGCCTAAGTCTCTCAATGTGAGTCTCTAGCTTCCTGCTTTCTCTGTCCTCCTTGTAATTCTATTCCTACTCTCGGTCTCTCTCTCTCTCTCTCTTTCTCTCTTTCTCTCTTTCTCTCTCTCTGTCTCTCTCTCTTTTCTCTTTCTCAATATTCACACCTCTCTTTACCTATGGTCAATATCTCACTGTTGGGGATGATGGGGGGGGGGGGTAATTTGATGCAGCCTGCTTGCATGCTACACGTACGCAAACCTTCTATGACCTGTATTCGCACTTGCATGTGCGTGTGGATGCATGGGTGCATGTGTGTACACATGTGTGTGAGCACCTTTATACCGTTATGTACATTCTGTGTGCATGTGTGCATGTGTGCGTATGAATGTGTATGCTTGGATGCATATGTACATATGTGTGCCTGTATGCTGTGCAGATGTCAAATGCGCACAATACCGGACGGCGTTGTGGCACTGCTGGTCCCGGTCAACGCCATCGTCCTCTTCAACCTGGTCATCTTCGTCCGCGTCATGCATGTGTCCATACGCCAGAGCTCCAGCGCGGTGAAGTCGAGTGTCTCCACAAGACGACTGGTACGCGTTGGCACGGGAACATTCCTGGCTCTAGGTCTCTCTTGGATCCTGGGGATGTTCTCCGTGGTAGCTAGATACGAGTGGCTGAAGATACTGTTCTCTGTTGCTCTCTCAGCGTGTGGCATGCTGATCTTCATCACCAAGGTATTGCTTTCCCAGCAAGTGCGCACGGCCGTTTCTGCCAGCTTGGAACGAACAATGGACGTCAGCTCACGCCACGGGCGCAAGAGCAGCGCAGGAGTCGCTACTGTCGGTAGCGGCGACATCAAGAACAACGACAATCGCTCGCGGTTGCCACGAAAAATTCAGCAGCGTCGCCTGAGCTCGTTTCTACTCCGGGTCAGCCCGTACCGCTCGCGTACGTCCTACTGCAGTGGCTGCTCGGCAATGCGCAGCGGTGCTCCGTGCAACACATGCACACAGGCACTGCAGCTAGATAACACCAGTGCCACCGCTCTCTCCATGCAAACGCTGCACACATGCGTCTCCTTGGCAATGATCTCCGCGCCGACGAGTCCGTCGAAGGAGGAGGACACTGTCGGACGGGATACAAACCTCAGCCTGACAGTGACGTCCGACAACAGCACGGTCCATCCCTCCTCCGTGAAGAGCAAGCTGGAGGAGGGCAGGGCGCCTTTTTGGGTTTAACTGACTGCAGTTGCAGACTGTCCTACGTACACGCTCGCACCCTGCACGCCTGAACGTGCATGTGCGAGCACGGACGCACAAGAGCGTGCACACACGCATGCACATGCACGCGGCTACGTGTCAAGATTCTACTCTGGACAGACGGCTTTCACGGCAGGGGGCTCAGATGACATTGAAAGAACCCGGAAGCCATTCCGGTCACTGAACCTGACTGACCTGTGAGATGCCTGCGCTGCACACTGGTGTGTATCGTATGTAGCAAAAGGAAGGAATTCTCAAATTGGCTGGCTGCTCTGTAGGGTCTACTCAACACAGTAAATTTCACTGCCATTGTCCAACGAGATGGCCGTTGAATTTCCCATGTCTTCAGCGGCAAAGCACACTTATGTTTTGTACAACAAGTAAGTTTAAGTTGCTAAAAGATTATCCAACTTACACTACTATAACCTCTAACCCAGACATTTGAAATAACCCCGAAAAATCCTTTAGAAGTGTGACAGGTACGTGAAGACTTCTGAGCACACACACTAGCAGTCGCGCTGAAATTCACTCAATTTTCTTCCACTGCTAAACGATTTTAGAATTTCAAAAAGGCCGGCTTACGGTCCGTCCATAAGAGATTTAGTGAGGTAGAACGATTCTCTGGTATTGTGCCAGGATACACATGACATGATAGCAGCATCTCCTCGGCTCCCCCTCTCTCGCACAACGTTTAATCAGCTAACACTTTTCCCGTCGCAATATCGCCAATATTATTCACATCATTCACTTCATCACATTGTTATTCTCGTTTCGGACTCTACCTGTCTTTAAAAGCAATAATTTGGTGAGACACACACAATGGAAATATTTACTTCAATTGATGCTGAGAAATTTCCCTGTTCAGCTGCCGATTTCTCTTCACCTCAATTTCATCACGCTTTTTAGTAGGACAGGTTTATATCGTCATATTCCTCCTGTCCACAACAAATCACAGATTTGACCCCCTCCTATAAATGTGATGACTGTTGTCAATATTGATCAAAAAATATTGATTGTAAAAAGAGTATTGTACAGCAAACTATAAGCGAGGTTAACATAATGTCAGAAAGGGTTTTTAATTAAGATCCCCATTATGCTTTTTATATATCATGGCAAAAAGAATTGAAGATAATTTGTGTGTGCTGTACAAATATTATCTTACATTGTGTTAACCAGAAGACAAAACAAATGAAATGCATCGCGACAGCGCAGTCAGTAAGTAGCATGCTCAAGGTCTTTGTATATTGTACGATCCTCGTCAATGGCCGTCAGGCTGCTGCCCACTTGAAATAAGTTATAATGCGTAACGGTAGTCGGTCTGAGAGGGGGATTATAGCAACGACTTGGCCAGGAGAAGAGCAGTGAGGAGCAAGCCTGTAGTGCTGTACGTCGAAGAGGCCGATGAGCAGTATGCCGTCAGACAGTCTATACAGGAACACAGTGGGCAATGCACAGAACAATAATAGATGTCATTAATTTTACAGACAGCAAAAAGCGAATACAGAATGAAAAAAAGTTGAAAAACACATGTAATCGTTAAGTTTGAGAAACACATTATTATTATTATTATTATTATTATTATTATTATTATTTGTAAGAAATGGTTTGCTCCCCACACCGGAGCTCGCGCTATTCCGCCGACTTTACTTGACACTTGACTGACTCACGACTGCCATCCAGAGCACACGAGAAGTCCATCGAACCTTCGACTCGGCAAACCTGCAAGAAAGCACCACTCCCTGCTCAATACACAGTGTTTCGGGGAATTCACCCCTCATCAGTTGAGCTTGAGTAGGCTGAGGAAGATTGTGCCTGAAGAGCACCACTTATATAGTGCTCTCCAGGCACAAACATCACCAGGTATACAAACTTACAGAGACGCTCCGTTTCAAGCGCGACAAACACCTCGTGAACACCAGATAGCAGCGTGAGTCAGTGTCGCTCCTGGACGGTGAGACAGACCAAACCATTTCTTACAAATCATCGCCGAAGTCGCAACCACTACTTCGTACTGTTGTGCCCAGCGCGGGCTTGCGACTAGTTGGTTTGGAGGTGACAGCGTTGCGAATGAGCGAGGGTCCTCGACGTCTGTCTCACCGTCCAGGATCGACACTGACTCACGCTGCTATCTGGTGTTCACGAGGTGTTTGTCGCGCTTGAAACGGAGCGTCTCTGTAAGTTTGTATACCTGGTGATGTTTGTGCCTGGAGAGCACTATATAAGTGGTGCTCTTCAGGCACAATCTTCCTCAGCCTACTCAAGCTCAACTGATGAGGGGTGAATTCCCCGAAACACTGTGTATTGAGCAGGGAGTGGTGCTTTCTTGCAGGTTTGCCGAGTCGAAGGTTCGATGGACTTCTCGTGTGCTCTGGATGGCAGTCGTGAGTCAGTCAAGTGTCAAGTAAAGTCGGCGGAATAGCGCGAGCTCCGGTGTGGGGAGCAAACCATTTCTTACAAATCATCGCCGAAGTCGCAACCACTACTTCGTATTATTATTATTATTATTATTATTATTATTATTATTATTATTATGGTACAAAACTTGGACTTGGTTCAAAAACAGGGCGAACGACAAGCATGAAAGCGAAAGGGTCCTAGGATTCTGCTGCCAACCCATAGCCTGTATAGACTATAAATAGTATACATTCGAGAAACGCGGCACTTCTCAATGTGCTAAACTTGGACTTGGTTCACAACTAGGATAATAAAAAGGACAAACATTAGAGGTTCCTAGAACTGCTAGCAACCCCACAGGCACGATACTACAGATACAAACCGCCAACAAGCACACATGCAGTTACCCAAATAGTCAATTTGAGGGAGTTCAAATGGGTGGAACACTGACGGGAGAATGACTGTCAGCACCAGGACACAAACTACAAGTACAGGGGACCTTTGCTTTAGGGCAGCAATGTTATCAAAACTATTCTAAGGTTGTGTCGCATTCAAATTGCTTGGGTGCTGGAAATACCTTTCCCAAATGAAGTTGCACGCACAGGCAAGGGAACCAAACACACGACCAAGCATGATCTTAATTAAGATGCTCACCTGTAGCATCCGGCTGACCTGGATCCACGTCGTCGAAGGTCCGCGCAAGGCGGAACTCGCGCGAGATTGGCGGCTGCGCATCACCGTCGGCCTGGAACGAGTACTTGCTGTGCACCTCGCAACGGTAGTGACCGAGCTGCGAGGCCGACACCACCAGCGAGGACTTGTTCATGCCGGGCAGAAGAGCATAGCGCTCGGACCCAGGGTACTTGATCAGCCAGCGGTAAGACGGCGCTGGGTTGCCGTCGGCCGTACAGTTGAGCTGTACGTTCTCCAGTCCGGCTGTGATGATGTCCGTGGCTGGGTCTGTAAGGAAATGCAGGGCATCTGAGCAGAAGAAGAGAGGGAAGACGTCAATAGAAATGATGCACCGTCCGAAGTCATGATTTCAACAGTTGCCATGCTGTGTTTCGATGGCCTCTCATACATGTACTGCATGGTCATACATATAGTCTTGTAAACAAACACACACACATACACACACATGCACACACACACACACACACACACACACACACACACACACACACACACACAAGTGCACGTACACACACACATGTACACGTACACTTACACACACACACACGCGCACAAGCAAGCGAGCACGCACACACATTCACTTTCGGTAATACCAAAATACCCTCACTCACCTCGTATGAAAACGCTGACATTCTGCTCCGTCACACCGGCGCTGTTCCTTGCTCGGCATGTGAATGTGCCGTTATGACGTGGGAACGTGGCGTTCAAGCTTATCCTGGCGTGTCGCCGTGTTTTTCCATTGGGTAAAACCCAGACCGCCTGTGGCTCAGGGTAACCTTGCGACTCGCAGCTCATTGTCAGCTGTTGACCGGCATTCACCACCTTCCAGAACGGCATCAGCGTGATCTTAGGCTTTACTGCATATGAGGAGAAGCAGGACAACGTACAGTAAATCCTGGTGTAAGCGATCTCTCGTTTTAGCGACCACCTGCTCTTAACAACCGTTTGTCCATGCACGGACAGTTCTACACGGAAACTGTGGGACCTGGTTCTAAAGACCACCTGGCTTTAACGACCGCTTTTGCTTGCACCGTGGGCCAGGGGGTGGTCGCTTAAACCAGGTTTCACTGTACTCATATTATTTTAATCAACCAACTATCGATACGCAGTGATGTTTCTCAGAGAAGTACATGTACGTTATACCCAGTTTATGAGTCAGAAAATTTAGCATTGTTGTTGTTGTTGTTTATTTTACTTCGCAGGTTCTAACGGGCAGGTTGCCCAATAACAATTTTAAAAGAAAGCGAAGGACAAGAAAATAACAATAAATGGAGTAAAGGGCAAAACAAAATGACTAATACTGAAGTACTAGAATTATAAAGTTAGCATTTTGGAAGTGCCTACTCCACTGTTTTCTTCAGTGAGTCATCCGGCAGGACCATGTCACACACTCCTTCAATTCACTCACCAATAAGGTCAGCCGTGACGTTTCCCAGCGGCGTGACGCACTTGTACTGACCAGCATCGGCGATGCTGAAGTTGAAGAAGCGAAGCTGATAGTCCTCGAAATACCCGTCGCTGGACGACAACCAGCCGATATTCTGCAAGCACACACACACAAGCACACACACACAAGCACAAGTACACACAAGCACACAGTACAAACAGTTCAGGACTCGTCTCGGTAGTTTAGCCGCTATACTACAGTGCTGGCAACTGAAATCCGACCCCAGCTCACATCGCAAAGATCCAACACGGGATGGTAAAACTACGAAACAGAGACCGCTAGAATGTGAACCCACCGCTCAGGGGTCGGATTTCAGTTGCCAGCACTGTAGAACCGGCTACTAGTCAAGCAATCGGAAAGCTTCCAGCTGTTTCGGAATGGGACGAAGTCGGAAACAACCGGCATTCCGTCAAAAAATAAATTGATTTGATTTTTGAGAAATCGAGCCACGACTTCTTGTTCCCTCATCCCAAAAATGGCACCACGGTTACTGGGAAAGCAGAATCCGCTTTTGTTGTTCAGGCCTGACATCGACATAATATTATTACTGACGCGTCGCTCACCTGGCTGTACTTGGTGTCGGTAAAGACCTTTCCGTTCTTCAACCACGTTACACCGGAGCCGTCATGCTGCCGTGCTGACTTCATGTGGCAGTCCAAGTCGAAACTGCTGCGCAACTCGAGTACGTTCGGTCGCCCTGCACGCACCGAATACAGGTTACCTTGGGGCGTTATTGGCTTGACGATGACTGCCAGTATCACATCTTGAACTTGTCCGCCTGCGAGAACATACAAGACAAGAACCGAAGAGGACCACGAAGCGAGGAATTATGTCAAGTTGGAGAGGGAAGACGACGCAAATGTATTTTAATTTTTTTGACAGTTAGCAACCTACTCAACCTCAACCAGCGACATGATGTAAATGTATCAGTACATGCATGTCTGTGGCCAAACAAACAAAGAAAATAAATTATAGAGACAAGAGTAAGCGCGTCCTTGTGCAGCTAGACAATGCAAACCATTACTTGAAAACATGCAACGAGCAGTTCCAAAGGAGAAGCATGGCTTCTGTTTCAAGTTAGTTTACACGACATGGTCAGAATCCGAATGATTATCGCATGGCAGACCGGCGAGTATGCTATGCTGCACAGCGCAGCACTTGCCAGGCGTCGGATTCGGCGCAAAAGTGGTGATAAACACGATACTTGCAAGCGGCCCTGGCCTGGAGGACATGGCGCGTGCGAAGGAGCCTCGAAGGTGCTGTGATTAGGAGACCAAACCAGGGAGTTGTAGCTTTCATGACTCCCTGGCCCATGCCATGGGCCACGCCACCCAAATACCATGCTCATCACACGTACAAGATATGTGCCAATAATCATTCTTACTTCCGAGCTAGATTCAGTGAAATGGCTACAGGAGACCGATTTCGTCTCAGATCTGGAGCTGGACTCGCGTTTGGGGCGCGTTATGGCGGACAACGAATAGTGCTCTTGGCGAGTTTGGGCTCATTGTATTTCTCTCATCAAGAGCTTTCCAACGAGCCCAAGATCTTCAAAATCAGTCAAGTAGAACCAAAGTTATGTTGGAAATGGAGTGCGCATTTTCGTGACTGCCACAAATTCTGCAGAAGCAAAAACGTTACGGACTCCAAAGGGTTAAAAAAGCATTTTCATGCATACATCTACATACTGCTCTGGTTCAAAATGAGCACGCACACTTAGATCTACACATGATTGTATGTATTATCAGACAAGAGGACATACCGGGAACCCCTACTGAATCTATTAACCAGGACCAGTGCACTCTTTTTAAAAGACGATACTGACCAGAACTGTGCACTGGATCATGATTACTAAAAACCGGAATACAATACGGTTATCACCCGGCTTTTCAATAATAATTTAAAATGAGATTCTAGAATACAATGTCATGTAATGAGGTAGTTCCGATTTCGCCAATTTACCTACGGCTCGTGTGCAGCACTTCATCGTTCCGAGTAGCGAGTATTACTACAAAAATGTAGTGTTGTTAGTTCTATTGGTCAACCAGCTGTCCCCAAATTATCATGTGACTTCCTGCCTGGTACCCTAATCCGCCAGGGATATCATGTGCAGAGCTCTGCTAAGAAGGTACACAGGAAGCTCTGTCAGACATGCACGTGAAAAGCATGGTGATGAAGACGACAACCCCACAACGCCATCACAACTACCTCAAAGGTTCAGCACTAGTTTTCGACCATCGTCGGGGAAGCGACCATCATGGTATCACCAGCGCTCACGATTGCCCAGCACGTGTTCAAGTTGTTACTGCATGCCAAAGATGTGACTGAATCAGAGTACGGTGGCGGGCTAGATTCTAGACATGCTGACTATACCGGTGGAGCGCTGGCAACAAGGACTACGGACGGCCTTGTCAGGCGGTGCGGGCCCGTTCTCCTCGCATCAATCCTTGTTCAGATATCGCAGTTCCTCCTTATCCCGATTGAAGACATGGGAGAGGACAAGTCTCGTTCTCCCCAATGGCGCATTGATGTCACCCCCGAAAAACGTGATGAGAATGAAAGGTGAAACTGGAAGACAAAGGGTGTTGTTCTACATTTGAATGTGGAGATTGTTGACCGATTTCAACTAGACAATGTTATACGAGGCGAGGCGCATTGCGATCCTTCCGCACATTCCACGTGAAGATGTTGACCAAAACACGATTCGTTTGTGGACTACTGCTTGGTAATTCACTCCACGTGTAGATGTGATTATCAGTATGTGAGGGGGGAAGGCAAGGGACGGGTGAACCTTCGCTTGCACCCTCAAACCGGATATGCCGCGTGTGGAGATCGCTCGGCGTACACATGTTCCTTTCTTGTCGCACGCATGGCAAACACGTGCAGCATACAGGCGTACTACAGTCATACTTTCCGTGTCTACCCTGCAGGCCTGCGCGCATGTGCATGTAGGTCCTCACCATACAGTGGTAACAAGACGGCATCGAATGCAACTGGAGAGCATTGAAATCGAGTTTAATCGACACAACGTGCTGATTGCCATATTCTGTGGACCTCTAGACATCTCTGTCGGGCTAGAAAACGTGCTTTCGCTGGGCGTTTAAGGGCCAAGCAAGCCCTGAAACCATGCGTCACAGCGCCATACAAGTGGAAGGCAATACTCCACCGCGCAATCTCATCACAATCTGCTCCTAATGAGCGCTATCATGTCGCACTGCGTAGCGTGGCGACGAATGAGGACACGCAGCAAAGCTCAAGACGCGTGGACTCTACCTAAGTATGCAGAGTATTCAGCCGAGCGGCGAAAGGACAACGACGACGGGGAAACTTGTTAACTAGCTGCCCTATGCTGCTCGTCTAGAGCGGGAAGAGTCAGATGGTGGATGCGATTAGCGAGATATGTCCAAACCACATTCAAAGATAACGCGCTGCGGACAGTGCCTAGTCGACCAAGAGAACAGCGTGTGATCAGCTGGACAGCGCTGTCTGCTACCAGGACAGATCAAAATGGAATGTCATTGCGTTTTCGGTAGATGTGACGGGACCGCGCGGCGAGCCACTGCCACTGGCACAAGACCCCAGAAATGCGCCTTTCAGTTTCATGTCGAGAGAGGGAGAGAGAGAGACAGATCAGGCAGTGGTGCAGCCATACAGTAAAATATCGGGAGGAAAGCAAATAACTACAGTTTGGCATTGACGGCGGCGCACATTCGCATTGACGGCGGCGCATATTCGCATTGACACACGACACTAATAGAGTAATAGGTACATTGAGCAGGTGCTAATGATTGCTCTGCCGACGACTTGGCATCAAACGCACACACCGAAGACACTGTCGTGTGCGAGGTTTGTCCTCGGTCAGATACAAATTATTTGTGGCGCGTGGCGGTCGTCTTTCGGTTTCTCACAACCTGCACCCGCCCCTGTCAGCTGTCATTCGGGCACCATTGGCTCCGCAAGCTTCGTCATCGCAAAACACAATAAGCGGACTTGCGCGCCATTGTCGAGCCATGAATCTAAACAACAGCGACTGAGACTGGACCATCTTTCTCACTCTTCTTCTCTGTCGCCCTCGCACTACCTCTCGCTCTCTATACATCTATCTGTATCTATCAGTATCAGTATCTCGATCTGTCTCACTCACTCTCTCGCTGTTCCATGTCTGCATCCCACGTCAGGAGGTACCAAGCGATCATCAGAGGATACCGTACACAACTATAATGATGATAAGTTCAGCAAGACCGGTGTGCATGACGTCTATTTGGATAGCTCAGTGCATGATTACATACATATACTGGATGGAGAATGGGTCGTCTTTCGTTACCATAACCATTTCAACCCATAGTGACGACCACGGTCTCAGTCGACTTCACATTTCCCATGTATTCTCGAGCCGGAGGCGATTCTGTGGCTCAAACATCGGAACTAAAGTGTTTTAAAATGACAATTTACTGGCGAATAGCTGGTCTTTCGTTACCATACTCAATTTTTGTTCCATGTTGGCGACGATAGTCTCATTCGACGTTTTCTCATGCTTTCTCGAGTCGAAGGCGCCTCCGTGGCTCAAACAGCGGAACTGCAGTGTTAGTGGAAGCAATTTGATACGCCCCATGGCGCCTTGGTGTGTCTTTGGTCACAAACGCTTCCGCGCCTGGCAAGGAAAGGTACAGATTTCGAATCCTTACACGAATTGTGTGGTGATAGTGTTACACGCATGACACCCGATATACACGTGAATCAGTTACCTGCATCCTGTTCTCGAATCTACCCATGTAACCCGCTCGCCTTACACGAATAGGCATCACCCTGAGCGTGTCTCCTTCCTGACCTCGTCGCGTTTTCCTCAGACACAGGGCAGCAGACACAGGCACTAGAGCCACTTCGTCTACTGCAGAATATCAGTCATTCGGCTCAGGCTGCTCTCGGTTTGTCGCAACAGGTATCCTGTGGATGTACGCAGTATGGCGCTCAATGAAATCCGATCTTGCGAATCGAATTCATGCCTCGAAGCCGTTCACACCCCAGTGTTTGTAGGCCTACAACACAGCGCCCGGCGTGGCATTCACTCACTTGATCGGATTTCACTGAGCAGCACTGTGCTTAGGCGTATGCCTCGAGCCCTTGCCTTTAGTTGGAGATGAGACGTTATACGCTTGGTTGGTGGGGCCAGGATCAGTTCTCTAGGAGACATTCGACTATCATGTACACGCACATTATGGGTGGTAGATCGAAGCGATCACCCATGGCATTGCTGTGAGAATTGCGTTTCTTGTCTGATAATAGAGAGGTTAAGATGCACGTTATTTCCGACACGACGCGCAAGTTCACGCCCAATTTGGCGTAAAACTCCAAATTTTGCGACTACGTGACGTATCAATAACGACTCGGTGGAACCTGTCGATCCCCTACCAACCACAGTCAATAGACAATACACTACCCACTTCTGCGTCTTTAAAAAAAAAAAGCTTTCTCGTGTATTTGGGAATGATTTCCTCGTGGAGAGGTCAGTTTTAACCGACTTTACTATTTTAGCTACACGCTGAATTCTTGCACTGTGGTGGTGCGCCGCACGCTGCAATACCGCGTGTGCCTGGCGGCCGAAGAACAGCGCGCGACGTGCGAAGCAGGTACGACTATAGACATTGTACATGCCGCGAAGCAATCAGCTACATTGTGAACGGAGATGTACCACGCGAGTGACAACAACGTTTCTCCATGAACTACAATGTTTCTCCATGAACTATCGCACAGTTCGAACAAAGGTTGTTGCATGGATGCGAACATGCGATGCGAGATGTGCAGGAAACGAAGCGTAGCAGTGCGTTCCTAATCCCCGTCGAACTCACACAAACGAGAGCGGATGCACAACATCTGTCCAAACTTGATTGCTACTCAAGTACATGTATATACGACGTACATTGACCGGTACCGTGAAAAAGACGCAACACTTCCCGCAGTCTCGCTGATCTGACAATCTAACACACAAATCACAAGTTTGCATGATGCAAATCACACAGCGAGTGTCGTGTGTGGCCTGACTAACTTGCCGCCTTGTACATGTAAAGCGATTTTTTCCACTCTCCCTCTATCTCCGGGGTGTATGATGTACATGTATGTGAATGTAATCCATTGCCACAATTTGGTTGCTGCCAATGGATTACACATTGGCGGCTAAATGTACAAACCGTGTTGTTCGACAAAGCCAGTGCATTACGCTACCCAATATCGCATGCTTGTGTGCGTGCATGTCCTTTGCGTGTACGTGTACGTGTGTGTTGTGTGTTGTGTATGTCCTCGCCCAGTCTAGGCGTGCGTGTTTACGGCACAACCCTGTGGTCGGACCAGCAAGGCCTGTTTCGTCGGATCATTGATTTCCCGCTTTCCACCCGCCGATTCTAACAAAGTTTCTTCCGCAGATCACTCCCCGTTGACGAGAAAGTGGGCAAGGAATCAGTGAATATAGCTCCAGATGGGACTAGATGGAGCACACGCCAGGAACAATGTTACGCCTACGAGAGGTTGAAACTACTGACCATATACAAGATGTGTTAGTCGTCCCTGGATGATCTACCATTGCAACAGTAACTGTTATTACAATACAAGGCTCTGCAAACCGAAACCACTGAACGAAAATAGTGCCTGTCAATGTCGACCGAAAGACTCTAAGTAGCTGGAATAGTATAATTTCACTGCGCAAGAAGGGGCACTCGGTGTGCCTGGTCCAATGGCCCACCATGCATGCACCTGCCTGTGCCACCCGTAACGTTCAAACAGCACAAACTGCGTGTGAGCGTGTCGAGCGCACACACACACACTCGACACGCCGAGCGTTACGTTTCACCACCTTGCCAGGATTAGGAACGAGTTCTATAAGGACTACATTCATCGTACCCTCGGGCAATTGACTCCGGCAGTAGAACGCGCAATGGCATCAAATTTCCTTATTGTCATCTTTATAGAAGTGCCCGAGTACCCGTGCGAAATACAGGTGGTCCGTGGTGTGGGTAAATTCTTCATTCAGCATTGTGCGTGTGGCTTGCTCAGGTTTCAACTCGGCTGTGGAGTTCTGCTGAGTGAGTGTGCATAATATCCTCGCCATTGTTCACGTCGTGCATGACCGCACGGCTAAGGGCGTGCGAACACCGTGCGCACTTGAAACTCCGCTCTCGACTTCGCCGCGCAGAGAATGGTCCGTACACGCCTTGGCCTTGGCTTGGGTGGTACGATGGTACGCCCGTTTCTTGGTTCCAGAGTGTCCTCAATCATCAGTATTATAAATAGCCCAGTTATGGGACTGTCATGGCGGCCAGGAGCTGGATGCTGAGCGTGAGGTTGCGAGTGTCAGTTACACTCCAGTAATAGCAGGTGTTGACCACAATGGCTGCTTGGAGATCACATCAACATTACCTGCATCTCTCTGTGCCAGTACGCTGCGAGTTTTCGTGACACCTAATGTAGCGTGCCGAGCGGGCTGGCCTTTTGATTCGTCCGCTTCGGCTCTCTACGCGACGGAGAGTAACTAATTCCTGGGCTCGTTCAACAGCTGTAGAGAATGAAGTATGGTATAACTTAGATAATTATGTTACTTGTAACTCACCCACTCATACACACACACACACACACACACACACACACACACATAAACACATAACTGTTACAAGCACGCATCTGTGAACACGTAACCAATTACTGCCTGCTCCTCGGCACCCCTCCTCCATTGAGTCACCCGCAGTGTCTTCACCTCATGTGTTTAACATTACGATGTAACACGAATGACTGCATGTACACGTATGTCACATGATCTAAGATCCAATGTCGACCTCGTATACTCGTTTCTTCCAACATCACCAAGCACCTCACGGAGCATTAGACATAGGGTGGAGTGAAAATAGCAGGCCGCCGCCTGCACAGGCTCGGCGAGCGACCACAGCCTACCACCCGCTGAGGCAAACCTCATCCCAGAACATCGAGTGTGCGGATAATTACGCCACTTGGCAGATCGTCCAGTGCATGCAAACGGAAAACACCAAAATTGACGTTGCCAGTGGGCAAATCGCCTCCAACGCCACTCTTGGATAGCTGTAACTACATTCTGCACACGTTTCCGTGTTGGTTATCCACGCGCTTGCATATCACTAATCACTGTACAATGATTTAAAATAATTGGGTGCATCTATGTAGTGTAGGACCTCACATGGTCGCCGCTAATGTTGTACCTTGTTTTCTCAGCCGGGGGATATCTTCGCCTCATCCTTCGTTTACCCCCGGCTGTTCAGCGCCGCATCCGAACAGTGTGTGGTGTGGCGCGCCTTGTTCTAAGCACACCAATCCACGCCAGAAACGGCGTAATTCACATTTTGTACTCCAGCTGATAAGCAGGCCTTAAGGCACGTCGCGGAGTGACGGCAACTGACTTCCGCGCCTCCACCTTGACCAGTGGCAGAGGTCTCACGGGACTACACAACGAGAACGCACCGTAAGAACTGCCGTCCTAATCGCGAACGAAGATTTGCAGATGCGCATAGAGGCTGGAGTCGTCGCATCAAGACTAACACAAGCACACCGATACCACTTACGCTAACTCACAGAGTGCAAGCTTCCTGTCACTATTGTTCGACTCTCCGATGCACGCACACACGCGCACACACACGCACACACATACACACACACACGCACGTGCACACACAGACGAACACACTGACACATACACACACACCTCAGACCTCAGACATGCCCATCGCGGAAGCGATGATAGCGAACAGCGATGTTAGACATAGCAACTTGTGCTGGGATTACACCATTCAACACACACACACACACACACACACACACACACACACACACACACACACACACACACACACACACACACAGACGCACACCATGCACAATACAAAATTTAATAAACACACACACGCACACATTTACACACAGATATATACACACACACACGCACACACGCACACCATGCTCCATACAAACAAACACACACACACACACTTTCACACAATGTCCCCTGCGTAACTGTACTGTGTGCCGAGAATTCAGATCACATTCGTTGTGAACAATGGTCTTCTCCTATTGCCTCCTAGCACACACGTCTACTCCAGGCAAGCGTGCACTGAAACAGTTTGGAAACGTTTTCGGCAGCGTTTTAGCTGCGTCTCAGACTCACAATAATTTTGATCCATATACTGTGCACTTGTTTGTGCTCTTTTGCCTCTTTCTTGCGACTTGAAATGGTACACTTTCCAGCCTGCTGTCAACTAACTTGTTACTTCTACTTGCACTGCACTGCGGCGTGGCCCGTACACTCCAGCAATCACCCACTGCACTCGTTGCACTGGGAGAGTGTATTAGATACGATTACGCGCGGAAGTTACGGTCATCAACACTATTTTTCCATTGTAGCCTGGCGGCAAAGGGGGCCTACAGTACACTATAGTGCTGTGTCTGTAGTATACCGTCATGTACCTGCTTATACTAGTTACACTATAGAACTCTTTGCCAGTAGACATACAAAGCTGGCAACTGAAATCCGACCCCTGAGCGGTGCGCTCACATCGCAAAGACCCAACACGGGATTGCAAAACTACGAACAACACATGTAGAGACCGCCAGAGTGTGAATGCACCGCTCAGGGGTCGGATTTCAGGTGCCAGCACTGTACTACAGTCAACTTCGCTTATAACGACACTCAGCGGGGCATCAGAAAAGTGTCCTTATTCGCGTAGTGTCGTTATACCCGAAGTCTCATTATGTACATAATGAGACTTCGGGTATAACGACACTTCGCGAATAAGGACACTTTTCTGATGCCCCGCTGAGTGTCGTTATAAGCGAAGTTGACTGTACTAGTCTCAAAATGTACGTCAGTATAATTATTCACTCTACTAGTATGCATCATCCCGTCAAGGCAATGGTGCGTTAACCACGACGATATCTTCATAGAGCTGTTGCACGCCCAACATATGAACAGGCGGGACACTTAGCCACACTGCCACTGGTTACAACTCCACTATTAACCCTACATCCATGGGGCACATTATGTGGGCCAGATTGGTTCCACTGTTCACATACCATAATGACTTTCTACACCAGAAATTACTATAGTAGTCATGTAACAAAAGAAGATGTGGATCCACACTTTTTCTTTGCAGCTAGGCCATCTTCGTGGTCCAATCACCTGTATTCTGCGGTATGTATGCAATCACTTCAGCAGTCGACAGCGGTGTCCTAATTCTGCAAATGCACGTCAATTAAACTATGTGACAGGCGAACCACACCGTGAACAAACTGAGTTATCTTGAAAGGTGGCATGGTCTAACTCGCGACAGAAAGCTGTTTATGTGCGTGTATGTGTTGGGGGAGGGGTGCATGCGAGGAGTTTGTCTTACCTGGTGGCAATGCTGACGCGTCGCTGAACCGACACAAACATGACGCGATGAGTAGAAGGGCGACAGTCCAAAGAGCATTCCTCGCGGGGAAGAATGCGGACGATGTCTGCGATGTACTGGCCATAGTTGGAGAGCTGATAACAGGCGAACAATACTGTCAAGAGAAATTTGGTAACAGAGACTGGAGCAGCACAGGCTTTCTCTCTGTTTGTATTGTGTTGTGGTGTTTTCTTCCTCGGGCCTCGGGCTTCTTGACCCCGCTACGTAGGAAACAAGGTGACCCTAAGGGTTGCAATGCTGTGACGGTGTGAAGTTAACCGGGGTGCAGTCGACACGAGAACTGAATGTTGCTCCTTGTCCGTAACACCTTTATGCCCTCACTGAGTCTTTAGATTAGCTGAGGTGAAACAATACTAATCGTTCACAAGCTGATCTCGAAAGCAAATGAATTACGACTGCTGCCACCTGGTGAAATAGACTACGTCTGGCCTTGAACGAGTCTCTTCTGGATTGAGTGGTGTTGGGCCAACCGTGGCTTATAAGGGAGTGAGATATCGTGATACAGTGCAGGTCAGGACTCTGCCTGGGTCCTCCGAGCACTACCTGTGTGTTCGTGCTCCTGCTGCTGATGCTGCTGGTGGTGGTAGTCCTGGAGGTGATGGTGGTGGCAGCGATCGCCGATGCTGAGAAGATTCGGCCTAGTGCCGGCGGGTTGATCGGCAACTCAGCGAGAGTAGATCAGTCAGGCCAGGAAATGAGCTGTTAGCGCGGAGCAGTGGCAGACACGAGGCTCGCAGCTATACTTGCACCGCATAGCCTGAGCATGCCAGGCACGTGGATGCGAACAGCGGGACTCAGAAGGAGCATTATCCACCTCGAGGTCTGTTTAGCTTATACACATACACGCATGCAATCACATACATACACACATACACGCACATACATGCACATACACACATACACGCACAAACACACACTTAACCTGAGTACGTGTATACTGCACCACAGATCTTCAGTACATGCCCAGGCTAATGTGACGATATGATTTCGTTATAGGACTCGTTTCGATCTACATTAGTAGTCTGCTATCGCTGCTGCGGACATTAAAGCATGATGATAATAATTATTATTATGGAACTTTATGTTGTCTCGTGTCAGGATTCCCCTCACACATGCCCAATGCGTTCACGGTACACGCTTTTTCCTTGTATTGCTTTTTGTCTGCCAGCGCAGCTTCTTGCAGTGTTGACCTCGTCTCCTGAACACTCAACGCGAACAAGTACGTATGTACATCGCCACAGCACGTTCTGGAGTGCCTACAGTTGTGTGAATTCATCGGGTAATGGGTAAAACATCATTCAGGCTCGCTAGGCTGCGCACGATAAATCGTCCATGCCAGAGATTTCGGTACAGATCTTCCCTGCAGGTATGAAGACTGTTCTTGCTGAGCCTGGCTCTCAAGTACTAACTGAGGAAAGCCTAACACGCAGAGTTTCTCTGTACTCCGTGGCTGTCGAGGCTATCGGTGCCATTGTTGGCGATTTGCCCGTGGTGCCGCACCATTACGACGTACGGTGGCAGCAAGGCACGAGCGCTTCAAACCGTCTGCCAACACTTAGCTTGACGAGACGACGTACAAAATGCTTGCTTTTCGCCCTCTCAAATAGAATTTTCTTGCGCCGATGTTTCCACATCGGTCACTATAATGTACAAGTATGGACAAAGCCACAACAAGGACATTGGAATGTAGCAAAACTTCAGCTTGGTTCAATCCTCCCAGATCCACACGCACATTCAGCATGATCGACATTGGTTCGAGTTTTATAGGGTTGATCCTGTGGTGAACTTCAGCACCACGGATAATTATGTTACAATCGTGCATATTTCCTGCTAAACCACAATCGTTAGAAGTCACCTGGCTTTTCTGGGTAGACCCTGGCACGAGGTCAATGGGACTTCAGTAGTGGTCTATGCTTAGCACAGGACATCTTCGCCTGTTACAGTCGCCACTGTGTGGTGTTTTGCAGTCTATCTGCTTCGGCACCTGACACCTTGGCACTCGTCAATTATTAATTTGATTAATTCTCGCTCTCCTGTTGCTGTCAACACGGCACTGATCAGACATTTTCCTGATACCGCGAACATCTTGCCATTTTCTTCCCCTTCTCTCCACAATTTCAATTTTGCCACGAGAACGCTTGCCAAAAGGGTACTTTACCGTTCTTGAATGGACAGGGTGGGAAACTGTGAAAAGGAAATGGCACGCACGCAGGCACAAGACTATGCCAACCCTGGTCAGAAGTGGTGCCAGGGTTGCAAGATTATCCACACCCTTGCTGGTGATGACGGGAACCCCTTTGCGGCGCGCGTTGGCAAAGCGCAGGAAACGGTAGGGAGCGGAAAACGGGTATCAATCAGCGTCCGTACCTAGTAGTACACAGCGGAGTATACGTAAGGACTAAGGTTAGGCTGGTAGCGGAAGTTCTCGCCTCCGCTTGCACTGTTCGTGCGGCATCGGTTCGAAAAACGGAGTTCTTTTAGTACGGCATGACCTTCTTCATAGCCTCGCAAACGTGCACGCACGCACGCTTCGCTGGCCTGCAGCAAGTTTAGTTGAACAGTTGAGTATTTTTTGTTGAGCAAGCCGCGAGTATGCCACGAACCATGAGCTACGCTGTACAACAACCGCTGCATAGAGCATAGTGCAGGACAAAAACGCTGCTTGCGTGAGCGTTGGAACAGACATTTCGCGAGCGTTCCCCTTGATTGGTCGGCCAGTACGCAAATAGCTCCTCAAAGACTCGTGCCGCCCGTACCGTGTCACTGTGCTAAAGGTTTTCTCTGCTTGTGTGGAGTGTAGTATATACTAGCCACAGTCACCAGTCCTAAGAAAAATCGTGCCTGAATATCATGAACATGATTGTTCTTGAGGTACAAGGTCCAGTTCGGCCTATTTCGGCCTATTTGGATGTTGGATACGACGTGAACAGCGTGTCGTTAACGTGTAGGGCTCCAGTTTGGTCTATAATACGACCGCATCGCCCGAGGGCACGACACAGACGGGCACGTTCATGAGCAAAGGAACGAATATACACAAATGCATACACCCTCAGACGCCCGGAGCGCGCACACACACACACACACACACACACACACACACATTCACTCAAATACATACATGTACATGTAACATACACGGACACGGACACACACACGTGTACACACAATCTGACGCAGATTGTGGGCGGACACTGTCGCGACCATTAAAGCCCCCGATGTGCGGAAAATCGTTGCGCAATGCCCAGGAGGCTTGAGCCCAACGCAACATACACCAAATGCTCCGCTCTCCGCTACTTCTACTGTTCTAGTACGATGGGGGAGACGTCGCTCAGTGTTGCTCAGTGTTGCGTTCCTAAACTGAAGGTTTACTATCCAAACGCATCAGGGTCCACGTCACGAAACAGTGGGAACCTACATGAATACATAATCTGGCTCTGGCTCTGGCTCTTATGTTCTGGCTGCCCGTTTTGGATCCATCAGTTGCCTGATGATCGTAGTAATACGTGAAACTCAGAGTTGTAACAAAGCTTCCAATCTCTCTCTTGTGAATACATAATCATGGAGAAAACTAGACTCTCCGGCAAACGTCCCTGGCAATGTCCACTTTGGTATGAACAAAGGGAAGCCTCAGTAGCCTAGGCGTTACACTAGACCAACGTCTCGCAGTATGGTTTATGTGCACGAGAGAGAGAGACAGAGTGTGTGCGCGTGTGTGTGTGTGTAGGGATGTAAGTGAGTAAAGAGAGTACATGTGTGTGTGTGTGTGTATGTGTGTGTGTATTAGAGAGCGCGAGTGTGTGTGTGTGTGTGTGTGTGTGTGTGTGTGTGTGTGTGTGTGTGTGTGTGTGTGTGTGTGTGTGTGTGTGTGTGAGAGAGAGAGAGAGAGAGAGAGAGAGAGAGAGAGAGAGAGAGAGAGAGAGAGAGAGAGAGAGAGAGAGAGAGAGAGAGAGAGAGAGAGAGAGAGAGAGAGAGAGAGAGAGAGACAGACAGAGAGACAGAGAGACAGAGAGAGAGAGAGAGAGACAGAGAGAGAGAGAGAGAGAGAGAGAGAGAGAGAGAGAGAGAGAGAGAGAGAGAGAGAGAGAGAGAGAGAGAGAGAGAGAGAGAGAGAGAGAGAGAGAGAGAGAGAGAGAGAGAGAGAGAGAGACAGAGAGAGAGACAGAGAGAGAGAGAGAGAGAGAGAGAGAGAGAGAGAGAGAGAGAGAGAGAGAGACAGAGAGAGAGAGAGAGAGAGAGAGAGAGAGAGAGAGAGAGAGAGAGAGAGAGAGAGAGAGAGAGAGAGAGAGAGAGAGAGAGAGAGAGAGAGAGAGAGAGAGAGAGAGAGAGAGAGAGAGAGAGAGAGAGAGAGAGCAGAAAGAATCTACTTCGAAGCACCTCGTCTATTAATTTTGTGTATGTCTGTGTGTGTAACGTCTGCGTACTCGCACAGCGACATCTGTACTCTGCTGTGGAGTGGCAGCAGCGCGGCAATAGGTCCGGATGATCACACAGTTATACACACTCGCAAGGCACAATACACATTACCAATGGCCCAATGCTGATGGTCTAGTCGTCAGCAGTGGTCGCTGATGCGTTGTATCTGCTCAGGCACGTTTTTGCAAAACACTTCCTGTTACATGCTCCATGTGCGGCAGGACGTGTTTCCAGCGCCGCCATGGTCGTGCTCGCATCGAGTTTTTTCGTTCCAGGAGCGGAAGAACCCGATACCATCCCTGCGCTGCTGGTACTATCCATCATCATGGCATGCCTGACTGTGCATGTTGTACATGTAACTGTGTAGTAGGATCTCTACGTGGCTCAACCATGTACATGTACAAGTAGCAACTGAGTAGGATTGTCTACTGTGGACCATGCACTGCTTCAATGAATAATTATTATGTTCGTATAGTGTATACAGCATAGACTTTAGTGTATACAGCATAGACTTTAGTGTATACAGCATAGTGTATACGGCTGCTTCTATGTACTGTGCTGTGCATGTACTATAGTCCATAGTCAGAACCGTACTGTCCCTCTGTCCATCCTCTTAAACACCAAGCTCGTTTAATGGGATGTACGAGCCTAACAGTTTCACGTATTTCGAACTGGGATTGATCAAGTACTCAGTATTGGTTTTGATCCTACATGATAAGGTGTATGAAGATACAGCATGCAGCAGCCGTATATCATATTCTGTGATTACATTTTATTGGCCGAATAGTACCGTTCACCATTTGAAATAATGTTCTGTGATGGCCCATTTAAGAGGCTTATTCAACATTAAAATATAAATATACATATAGTGCTCCGTTCCCTACCAAGGGCAGAGCGTAATACACAAGGCATGACAACAGGGACCAACATCGTTGCCGTTACTCCACGTTTCGTGTTTAACCCTGAACACACTCATCAGACGATAGAAAAAGAGTTTGCTCTTGGCTTGTTATTATAGGGCAATGGACTGGCAGTGGCAGTGAATGAGAGGGGGGATACTGAGTATTAGCATGGCGGACGGGCACAGATACGTACCTGGTACATGGTACTAGTACCAATCATGTACAATGTACCTCCTTGTAGATGTGTGTCGTTTGCTCTTGTAGGACACAGCACAGGACACACTCTGTACATACAACACAGATGTACGTGTCCAACCGACCATGCCATGCCATGTAATGCCAGGACTGAGATTCGCCGACTGTGTACACAGACACAGTATAAGGTGCAGGAAGATTACGTGAAATGTCTGTGGCGCCACGGCAGTCGCCGACACGTAACTCGGCTGATTTCGTGTTGGTACACGACGATGGAATTCC